AGTTCATGAAGAGATGCCCAGGAGCTGACAGACAAGAGATTCTGGAGTGGAGGCAGATATCACTCAAAACTCTTCTGCCCTCATCTAGCTGCCAGGAGGTAAGAAGAGAACGAAGCCTGCTCAGTTATTTGACAGAAACGGATCAACGACCCTCCTATCCTTAAAAGTCAGTTCTGGGCTGAACTCTGTGTCGATGGAGACAGGCTGCAGAAAGCCAGTTTGAGACACTTGAGGGACGCCTTTACGGGAGCGCTTCGGCCGGGGGGACTGGGGCAGCTCTCTGGGGCAGCTTTTGGCTCAGCCCACTCCCACATCTCCAAGCTTCCCTGAAAATGAGTAAGGTCCAGCACTTCCCACGCAGGTTCCTGTAGCATCCTCTCATGGGGCGGGCACCTCCCAAGCATCCGTTCTGCTGGCAGGTGTCATTCTCAGGTCTTTTCCTCCAATCTGATATGTATCATCTATTTTGACTGCCTTTTAGTTACAATGTTGTTTTCATTACTATGAAAGTCAAAAGAATGACATTTAAGATAAATTAATCAACCCCCTTTTTTCTGATACTGTTTTCTTTAGTTTCAGGTGTCACCATATGAAATATCATTACTATTGGATGGAAGAAGACACATCATACGCCAGAGAAGGACGCATCTCTATTTCCAGTTTGGGATCTCTTTTCATGAGAATGCCAACTAAGCATTTTAGTTGAGAAGCTCCATTTTATCCATCACCAGAACTGTTTGGTATTAAGAAAATGTGAATGATGGACAGACATGTTTTGCTGTAGAAACAATGTCAGTAGGAGAGTATAGATTTCACATCTGTTTTCAGTTCATTCAGGATTTATACTTAATTATATGGTTGTGAGATAATCCTTGCAATAATTTAATTTTCTAGCAGACAAGAAATTTATTTTATATTCGTCATAGGATAAAAAATTCTGTTTAAAGATAGAAATTATCCTCTACTTTCATGAAATGAGCACGCTTTGCAGCCTGTTTAATGCTCTAGGTAACTAAGATGCTTAAAAGTTATAATTTCTGGCTGTTGAGGAATGTGGCTGAAGGATCATACAAGGAGAGAATTCTGCAGTACATTTTAATTTCTGCAGTAAACCCGGAAGACCTTCATAAACTTTGCAACATCTTAGTGGATAAAGAAAACAATGTGGAGAAATGGTAATTTGGCTTCAAATGACAAAATTGTTATTACTGTTTTTTTAATAACTCATTAAGACATCAAATGGGTTTCGTATAAAATTTGATAAATTGCATTTTTATCTTTTGTACTAGCTTAGGTCATTAGTATTCAGACTCATTATCTCCTGGAACTTTTCCTTACTTTCAGTTTATTACTGCTCCTCTGAGTGTCCTGGAGCCGTTGGGCTGAGCAGGGTCCCAAACTCATTCTGTGCTCACACGTTATTTGTGGGTACAATTTAACCATCAATTACTAGGCAGAGCCAAGACTTCAGACTCCCTTGCGCTAAATCCATCAGGATGAACAGATTGTAAACTGCCCATTGCAGATATGATATGCAGCAATTTAGCATCGTGTTAATACTTCATAACCTCCATCCCTTACATTTATGTAGCTTTTCCCTCCTGAAGCTTTCCAAAATTGCTTCTCCAGTCATTACACTGCACCAAGCAGTTCAGATTTAATAGGAATAGGTGTGAACATTAGCTTCTGAATGAGTTAAGGCCATATGGAATTTTTTCTATTTAGTTGGATAAGTCTGAAGCATTTGTTTCTATTGTTTGTTACCATCTTATAAAAAAATCGGAAAAAAATACGTTCTTGATTTGGGGGCTTTTGAGGCTCTGTTGCTTATCTGTGGTAATAACTTAAAGCTTTTCAGAAATGGATTTTTAATATAGTCTATAAAATAAGCCTCTCACAATTTGTTTCTGGTTAGGGCTTTTTCTTACTATAGAACAGCCACTTAAGGATGAAGAGACCTATCTATCTCACATCACTGCAGAACTGCTAAGGCCGTTTCAGTCAGTGTTTAAATGCTTTAAATGATGGCACTCTCTCTCACTCTTCCCCTTCAGTAATCCAGAGGTCTTGTTGATAGGGACAGCCCTGCTCCTTGTGACCCCAATTTAATTTCCTTTCTCCTATGACTTAATTCTATTATTCTTGCCTTTAACCTCCTTCTTTTCTTTTTCTCTGATGGATAAACTGGGACTTACTGTTTTATTGCCCACACTTGTCCCACAGCTCTTTAAGTGTTTGGTTTTACTACCCTGGGAAGTTCCATCTTCCAAGATACCTTTAAAAACACCAAGAGCAAGTAAATCCAAAAGGTTGTTACAAGCTTTTAAACTCCGTTGAGTAAAGCTTACCTTGTCCTGCAAGTATGACCCAAACTATAGGGAACAGTGGGAGAATGGGGATACGAGACATTGGTAAGAATGGCAAGAAAAAAAATGTGAGCCTAAGGTAATTCAGGTTGAAATCCAGGCAGTTTCCAGTCCAACCTCCTTACACTGGAGGAGGATGGAGGAGACGAAAAAGCAACTGGTTTAGTGTCTTCCTATTTCCTCCTGAGATCCTCTTAGTTTCTCCTCCTGTGTCCTCCTAACCCCATGTCTTCATCTCTGGCTTTTCAGAGCTGAACACAAGGAGAGAAGGGATGTCCTGGTGCAGCCTCTCAAGCACAAGATGACGGGCAGGAGGGAAGAACCTTGGAAACCACTGGGGGGAAGGAGACATGAAGGTGGAAGCGAGTGGGGTGAACAAAACTGGTGGGGAAGGCAGAACTGACTGTGTACAGAAATGTGCAAAATAGGCATGGGGCAGAACTGGTGAGGGAGCTGGAGGGAAGGCACAGACCACCTGAAACACCTGCATCATATAAGCTGCTGACACCGTGTCTGGGATAAGCAAGGGCAGAAGGAGCAGGATTGCATTTTTCCAAGTCTAGTAAATGGGTTGAGACGCTTCTGAAGGTGCTTAAAATTTGAGTTATCCAGTGTTCTGGTCTTCACCTAGGTGACACTGACTCCAGGATTGGCACCTTTTGTTGAATGCCTTTCAGCCTCAACCTGTAGCACAGAAGAGAAATAAGACACATTTGTTTGAGTAACGTCTTCATGCTTTCCTCCTTACAGCAGCAACAAATTCAGTTCACTAAGAATTATGATTAGTCCTTGCTGCAGATTTTTTTAGACTCCTTTTGCACATTATTGTAGTGTTGCATATGAAATACTCTTTCGCTCCTTGTGTAAAATGTTAGAAAGGCAGAATGAATAGCTGGCGTTCTGCTTTGAGTCTGTGAGAGCACCTGCTCAAAAGGCTGGGAAGGGAAGCTCTGAAAAGGAGATCAAAGGAGTCCTTAGCAGGTGTGTGCTTGGGGACTTCTGGGGTGCAGGCAGTAACTGGAGAATGAGCAGTGCAGATCCAGAGTGATCAGATGAGCTGTCTTCTTCCCTTTGAGCTCTTCCGCTTTGAATGTTCTTATCTTTGACTTACTTCCTTCGAGGTCATGCAGATTTTCATTTTACTTCAGAAGTGCCCTTATTCCAGTTCTGCTGGAACTAATCAGGTATTTTCTCTTGTTTATTCTGAACAATGATGGAAGATTCTTTGAGAGCCTTTTCTCTAATCCAACCTTGAAAATTGTTCCTATTTCCAGAGGGCATGTCTTTTTTTTTTTTTTCTTCTTTGAAAACCATTTTCCGTCTCCCATCTTTTTAATACAGCTCCATTTTTAAAATTTTATTTTCAATTTTTTAAAAATGCACACTATCGTCAATATTATGAATGCTGAAGTAGGAGTCAGAGCACGGAAAATGTACAGGTGGCACACTAAAAGCAGCTTCAGCAACAAAGTTGACCTGAGACAGACAAAAAGGTTTGAAGTCCAGAGGGCTTTCCAGTCAGACTGTAAGAATTTCAAAGTAGGTCAGACTGGCTCATGGTGTCATGTTAAGCCTTGCTCTGAGATGGTTTTAAAAAGAACTCAGGAAAGTCCTTTCCCACTCTTTACATTCTTTTGAGACTAATAGAAAGGACAGGGCTGTAATTTGAAACAGAACTGGAATGTCTCAAAGATAATCCTGTGAGCTGGGTGACTGCTTGTATGATAAAAACACTTCTGTGAATTAGAAAAAAAGCAAAAGTCTGTATTTGTCACTCAAAATACTGTGGTGTTTCAGACTCATTAGAGTTGTTATGAATACTGACTGGTGGGTGACACTCAAAACATCACTAAAAAGCATCTCAACTTGTAATGACTGTGATTTTGTATTATACGATTGAGGCACATTTTAGAGGAATATATTAATGGCTTCAGAGGATGATCTAAGCAGCATGAAAAAAGTGGTAGAGACAGTTCTTTTGTTTAGCTGTCTCAAGCAATGGATGCTGGAGTGCAGGAGGAAATCATGGGGAAGAGATGTTTACACATGAATAGACTATACCCTAAAAAGCAGCAAACTTACAGCTTGCTTTGTTTTGCTTGATTAAAAAAAAAAAAATCAACCCCCCTTAATATACAAATACAGAAAATGACTTGTCTAATAGTTTACTTCCATCTCATCCTTCAGTGGTGACCCGTAATAGACGATCATCTGCAAGGCTGTAGGTATGCAGACATGGCTTTAAGTTTCATCTTGATGAATTTCTCAACTTAGTGAGGGCAAAAGCCTGCCTGCTTTGTCTCTGCATAAAAAGGTGTGCTCAAAAGTGGAATACCATGAAAAACACATCTCCTCAAAAGAACAGGTAATTTTCACAATTGAAGTTATTTTTTAAATAAGTACTTAAAACCTAGTAGTCTGACAAATGCCAAGGCACACTCAGTGTACTGACCTGAAAAAAGGTGGTGATGAAAGAAAGAACACGCTCCCCTACAAGGTTAAGGCAACATCTGTTTTCTGTCAGACTCTCAGTAAAATCACTCATTCCAAATGTAAATCAAAAATCAGAAAGTGAAAGACTTCACTGAGTACATCCTCCCATTATTCTTCAAAACATTATTTTTTAGTATACTATTTCAGTTCAGTACCTCAAATGATTTATTTGACTGATGGAAAAATACAAACCAGTGTAAACAAATTATTCTGGTTACATCCACACAGTACTCTTCTACTGAAATATTATTTATCTAAAATTGATTTAAAAATATAACATTTGGTTTTCCTAGGACAAGATGATTGCATCTGAGATCAGATGGTGTATTCCTATGCTCATATTCTGCCCTGTTTCCCTTCCTCTATTGTATGGATGTAAATCCTTCAAGTCCCCACATTATTTTTTATAGCTTCTTTTACTTTAGGGTAAGCTACTTTATTCAATACATACATAATTTAAGCAAGATACTGAAACCTCTAGTAAGGAATATCTCAGACAAACAATCTTTGTCTTAAGAATGCCCCTCAACGATTTCAAACATTATCCCCTGAGGCTCCTAATACTATGTTGTTCAGCCTCTGTGAAAAGGCACCACTGCTTGTCAACACATTTTTCTGACAGGTTTAACACTATATATTCTACATTGCATTTCAGAGGGAAAAAAAGATCCACGTGAAAAAGTAACTAAATTAATTTATGTCCGAAAGCATTAACTCAGCATAGGAACAGTGTGAAACAGTTATTGCTATGTTCTATGACTCATTTGGCAGTAATAAAATGTTTACAGATACCTGATGCAGAGCCCTACTCCAACGCAGACAGAAAGGCTTCTTGATGAAAAGTAATGATCAAATTAAAGTAAAAAATCCAGGATGTAATGACTGATAGGTGAAAACACCAGATTTTTCTTGATAGTCTTCATTTGAAAAATAAACAAGCTTTTAACCAGGTATTATATTCTGCTTGCCAGCATAGGACAACAGAAAAAAAAATGCTTTAAATAAATAGGCCTTTCAGGGAATGGCCTATTTACAGTGAATACTTTCACTGGTGTCCAGATCTTTAAAACTGAAAACTGCTCATGATCAAGTATATGGAGCAAGTACACGGTCCTCAGTAATCTGTGCTGAGGAGTTGTTCTTCTGGGTCAAAGCGTGGATACAGGAATGACTGCTGGTCAAGTAAGCACAAGTGTGCGTCTTCCAGCAGCCAGGCAGGACTACTAGAGAAGAGTCTGCTTATTCCCCTCAAAGTGTAGAAGCCAGAGATTAAATGTTTTGCATCAGCTAAACATTATTTTGTAACATACTTTTGAAATTGCGCTTTCAGAAATGAAGCAATGCCAGGTTGAAGTGTTGTGGATGTAACGGCTGGTGGGAGCTGCATCCTACCTTTGGGCCAGTGAGTCTGCTTACCGGTTGCATTTTCCTGTGTCCCACTTTCTCCCGTGTTGAGGGAATGTCAGCTGTTCAATACAGCATAAATACCAAAAAATGCCAAGCTTTGTTTGCCTTTCAGCTGCCAAAGGGCCTTCTTACTTTTGTTCACATTGCTGTAAGTTTTTTTTAACATTCTGTGCAAGTGGATTTGAAGACTGTACCCCTTCTACTTATCAGAAAGATATCTGTTAAATTACAGAGTGGCAGAAAATAGATTTTGTATAACAAACCTTATTTCAGAGATAGTGACAATTTCATCTCTACATAACAAAAGATGGAAAAGTCACAGTATGTATGACAGCAGAACAGGGACCACAATAGTGTAAGACACAAACAGACCTTTCTGTCCTCTCTTACCTGGACTCAAAAAAGTTACCATGTGCAAAGCAGATATGTGGTTTCTCTTTTCTAACAGTAGAGTATTTCCTCATACTCTATTTCATTAATTTTACGATGTATGAACTATGCTTCTATGATTAAACACATTCAGATGTTAACTACAATTAAAAAGCATTTAAATACAATTCACAAGTGTATCAAGAGAAAAAAAAATACAAAATAGCTAAAAGAAACATAATAAATGAAAATCCAGAACAGGCTACATAAAATATTGGAAAGTTCTTCCTGTCTAGAAGGTAAACTAAACAAATTCTGAGGTTCACAGCTCAGGATTTTAAGCTAAGGGTATGGACAAATTATCTCGGTTGCTAGTGTTACTATGAAATGTCATTCCTGCTGCTGTTATGCTTTGTCTAGCTACTGCCTCAGAGAAAAGGTGATTGCTCTGACATATGGCCTCCCCATCCAAAGCACTTTCCCGGTAACTTCCTTCCACAACTTCTTTTCCTTGCCCCAAACCTGTATTTCTGAATTGTCAGTAACTCCATTTGATAAAAAGGTTCATAATGTTTAAAGCCCAAATTAAACATCAAAGTACTAACCTGGTAACACATCTAAGAGAAGATTATTTCGGGGGTGTTTCGACTGTCAAATAAAAAGGACATTTTCTATTCCTTGCATATTAAAAAGATTAATTTGGCCTGCAATGTTGATCAGCTGCTGGAATTAAGAAATAGACATAAAGGAATATAAAACTATGGGTCAGCAAATACAGAGCTTTACCCGTACTCTTAACTGGCTCAGAAAATTTCAGTATAATTCTTTATGCATAACCTCCATAATTTTCATTTAGTAAAGTTAATACCTATTACTCTACAACTCTTTCAACACAAAGTGTTATGTGATACATATTATTATGATGTTATTATTTACTACTGTAAGTAACATTTGACAAGCACAACACTCTGGGAATTTGTTCATGTTGGCTAAAATTAAATACCGAAACCAACTTTTGAAATACACATTTTGAGCTGACAGTTAGGATGCAAACAATAGAAATGGTCGTTTGGGCTGAAATCTTCTAAAAACCTTTAGATTCTAATTTGCTTCATACATCGTCTACAACTGAAAGGGTCAACATTTCCAATCTGTATTTAAGTCAATGCTAATATCAATAAACTTCAGTTTAAATTAATGCAAAGGATATACTCTAATGGAAAAGAAATTACTCACTTTACTAACTACTTCTAAAGTCTAAAAGGGTTTTAAAATGTTGTTCAATATTGTATGTGCAAAACCGCGTTTAGTGTCTTCAAAGGACTCTAAGTGGCCAGACATCTCTCATACCATCTCCGCCATCCACATACATTAAAGACATTAGGTCTGTGGTTTCTGTTAAGCCCAGTGGTGACAACTGCTGGGAAACTGTCACTCTTGCGCTTTCAAACAACTGGTCTGGATGTGTGAAATTTGCAGAACTGGAAGCAGTAGCTGGAAAGCATCCTGAATATAAGTAGTACTGTTGCAACCCTAACGGGGAGAGAAAACATGTGTTTCATCAGTATAGCTGTCATGTATTTCCTGAATTACACTGTAGTTTTTAAATGCCTTTTTTTTTTTTTTTTTTTACATCTGCATCATGCTGTAGTAGCATATGTATTCACACCAGGTTTTAAAATCTATAGATACAAAAAAAGATAAATTATAAAAATTTACAGCTAACAACGATAACCTGAATCACTATATAAAAAAATCTGATTTTCCCTCAGTTTGAACTCGTTTGTAATGTGAGTAGAACAAAACGCCAGAGTGTTCAGAAGTAGATCTGACTTTTAAAATACAAACCAACTAGTCTCTCCATCAACAGAACTGTGAATTTTCTGTAGGTGTAAGAAGTGTCACTGAAATTAACATTTTGAACGATTATAATGGTTTTAACACATAGTACTATTTTTGGAATTTCTAATATGGAACGGTATAGCGGCTTGTACTTCTCCATGAACTTAGGCTGTACTAATACATATTTATATATTAATACAGGATTTAAGAAGTACAAAACATTGTATTCCACAAATCTGGATGTTCCCAGATTTTGCAATTCCTGGAGCACAGAAAGATATATCAGCTGCAACAGTAAATTTACCCTATAACAAAGAGAAACTTACAGTAATCTTTACTAGAGCTCTATTCAACTTCCCATGATCTTCCTTAAAGTATTGTTAATTCAGTGTGAAATTGCTTATTGTAACACAATCTTTTCCTCATTTTGAAGGGAACGCAGTTATTACAGAATGACAATTTGTAGTCACTGGTATATGTTTATTTATGTTTAAAGAGAAGTGTGATCTAATTAGCAGAGTTAAAAGAATTTGTGCTGCAGATAGTACACATTTTAGTACTTTCTGAGCATATTACTTCCTCTTGAGGCACATTTTACTCACTGTGCTTTTCTGATGAAAAATAACTCATAGTGTCTAACAGAAAAGGTCCATGGTGTCTAACAACAGAAATCACTCATGAACATTTTGGTGATGCTGACACATGGTTATCCATGTGCTGACCAAGGCTGCTGCTAGACTGTGAATCTCTGTAGTAATCTAAATGCCTGTGGATGGGAAGCACTGTAGCATACCTACAGCTCAAATTTTAAAGAAAAGAATAGTCTGAAACTCTCTGTAAATCAAAATACTTTGCAGTATTTGAAGTAGGTGACGGAACAGTAACAATAGACTTATGCCAAGCAACTTGTGAATAGGTTAGAAAAGGGCTAAACACCACGTTGCAAATTGTCTGTTGTGCTCTGACTGATACAGCAGCAGAATGTAAGAGCTGGACAGTCTCACTTCAGTTATACAGATCTTAAGAATCCTCAGTAAATGCAATATTACTACTACGGTATTTGTGGGAGAGGCTGAACACAAAAACGAGAGGTTTATGAGCTGGCACTGAACAGCCAGATTGATTTTGTCATTACTTTTTATATAGTTCTTTCTTCAGACATAAATGCGACTGTTTAATTTCAAAATCATTTTACTATAACATATCCTAATGTGAAGAAACCGAAGGCTTACCTCTAATAGCACACAGTTGATGATGGGGTTAAGAACCTCTGCCTTCATACTGCTCTGTAAACCGGAAAATAGAATGAAATGCCACGACAAGAAATACATTTAACAGAAATATATTGGTATCTGAGAAGTGGTTTTATGAATTCTATAAAGGTCTTGCTTCACCTTGATTCTTATTCAGACTGTTTATCACAGTATTCCTGATAACTGTGTCTACATTTCATACACACTTCAGTAGATCCTACATATTTCTATCACTGAGTACAATGAACTAGGATGGACCCAGGGTTTTACTTTTTCATTAATTCATGTGCCACAGAGTTTCAAATTGCCGGGTTTTTTATGGATGTGAGATTTATGTGAGGACATTGTCTGAACATCTGTCTGTCAGTGCCCTTTTCATCTCCCTCAAAATGTTTGTTTACTCCTTGCTCATTTTCAAGGAAACAAGATGGAAAAATACAGGTCAGAAGGAAAATGAAGTTCTTAGAAGTTTCACAAGTATCTGTGGTTAGGAGGAAATGAAAGGCCCAGATTAGCTCCCCTACAGAAGAAAAACAGGTGAAACTCAGATCCCCAAATTGGAGGCAGTGTATGTTGAGCTGGCCAGTAAACATAGCTCAGCATGCATAGCATTTTTCTCAACCACCAGATAGGAATAAAGATGGGTACAATGAGTAGTGACACTACTAGAGGCTAGAAAACCAAGATTTGACAGCTCCTCTGCTTTTTAAGATGGCAAAAGTCATTTCCTTTTTTTATTCTTGCTGTTCTTTGTTTTTTTCGAATGACAGTAACCTCCAGCAAGAGTTGCTTTCTTTCAATACCAAACACTGAACTTTATGAGAACAAAGGAAACACCATACTGATTAGCTGAAGGATTTCCACTTACAGCCTTGTAGCTTTCACATTAGATTTAAAGAAACACCTTAATTTTAGTTTGGAGAAAGATGGCAGAACAAAGGGAAGGTGGTTAAGGAAGAGTAATTTTACTGTCAGTTATTAGAAAATCCATTATAAAGTGCACTGTTTAGTTGACTGTCAAGAAACTGAAACAGACAGAAGTATCAATTAAATACTATTGATTTTATGAATCAATAAATTAAAATTTGAAAGAAATTTTGTGTAGCAAGCAAAGCTGTTATTTCTCACTTCTGCATTACTGCTCACTCAGAAACATCATCAACATTATAGACTGTGTACAGTCAGCACTACAACTAATGTCTGAATTACACAGATGTAACTACAGGGGTGGCATTATGTTTGAAAAAAAACAGTATTTTCCATTCTAAGCCATTTCTCAGTTTCCCATGACTTAATGCACTTTGCAGGAGACTGGAATGTGTTTGTGAACCCGGGTGCTGCTGGCAGGTTAAGGCGGAAGTTGAACCACTGGAACATGCAGGAAGATGTAGATTTTCTACAGTCCTTTGTGACAGGTGCTCCTTACTTTCTTACTGATCGTGGTGAGCAGAAGGCCCACATCTTCCTGCAAAAGCTTACAGGAATGGGATAGTACATCAAGATCACCAGTCTGCCCTACTAAAATTCTCCTCTAGAGAGTATTTTGGCAGTGGGAAGTGTCTCTGTGCTCAATTTCTTATGTGCCCGCAAATATGTCCACAAACACAGCCTGGTCCTAAAATCTGAGTACAGAGTTGATAAGAACAAAACCCAGTGCAATGTGTACGAAAGCTTTAGTTTCCAATTTTCTGAGCTGGGTCAGCTTAATATTTCATGTGCAATTTATTTTTATATGGCTGTGCATGTATTTATTGCAAGTGTCACACAAAGATATGCTAAAATACAATCCCAAAACACAAAATAAGCAGTTTCTCAGAGAGCAGTGGGAAGGAATGTAAATTATTCAGAATGAAAGGAACCCAATAAATCATGTTCTCTACAAATAACTGAAAAAACTTGCTCAGCGATGTGCTGGGAGAGCTCATGGCAGAACTGGGAAAATTTCCTTTGATGTACATTCACGTTTTCATGAAGTACTCAGGAGAGCCAGTTTGTTCTCTGACGTTTATAGAGCAATTTCAGCAACAACACAATTTTTGCCTCTGGATCCTGCTAGAATACTCAGATGTCAGTCATCTTTGAAATGTCTTGAAAGGCAGGATACTATTTCTAGCAAAGATGTTCACAGATGAATGTATGTTCCTAAATGGAATACTTTGAGATACAAGACAGAGTGATTTTTTTAAGATGGATGACCAAACAGATTTTCTAATCTCTTAAACCTTTTGAAAACACAGTGGCCCTAGGCCAGGGGATTTAGCAAAGGCTAAGAAGACAGCTTGTGAAACTATCTTATGTTACTGGAAGTGTTATCTGTTAATGACTTTTACACAAATGAATTCAAAATGGATAGGCTGAGTAGGAGAAGAAAATATCACGAAGTTGTGGGACTTCGAATGTGGGGCCCTTTCAGTACAAGAAGATAAGAAGTGCAGAGTGGTGATCATGAAAAATGGGAAATGGTGTCTAAAAAGAGAGATTTTAGAAGGCAGGGGACACACTGCACTCTATCAAGGCTTATAAACTTTCTCTGCAACAGGGAATCTGCTGCAAAAATGCTCTGTGTCCTTGATCTGAGGAAAAAAGTGCCCTCTTCGCTAGTACCTCATGCAAAGCCACTGGACTTGGGTAATAATCTCTGTTTCAAGAAGAAAGTTGTGTTAAAAAATGCCCAAATGCTACAGAAAATGCTGTTATCTTACCCCAGCTGCCGTTAAAGAATCAGAAAACTTCTTTGATAAAGATGAAACTTCATTGCACATGGCACTTGTTAAACTAGGACAAAAAAAAAGACAGACAAATATAAAAATACATCCTTGACAACAGATAAAAACCCTATGACTGTCCCAGGAACAAACTTCATCTTAGAAGCCAAAAATGTTAAGGCAATTTTGATTCTAGTAATTTAAAAAATATTTTGGGGTAGACTTTGTTCATGATATAGTTTTTATAATCCTCCACTGAAAAATCCACTGCTGACTACAGCAGCAAAATGATGTCCTGTTGGCTCAAACACCAGTCTTTTTTTAATAGGGCAATGTTTCAACTTTTTAAACATTAAACTTCTAGTTTAACTATTGTTTTTCTGATGAATGCAGCAACACAACTCCTAGAAATACTGTTGGAAATAAATCAAACTTTAATGAGAACAGTGTGAAGTTTCACATCTATGCAATAAAACATCTACTCTGCACTAACAGAGGAAGTACTCTTGTGGTTAAAACACAAGAGAACAAGTAGATCTAGTTCTATTCCTAGACCTTTCACTGTTTTGGTAAACATTCACAAGTGCTTCACGCAGAACCTCATCCTGCAAGACGCACCAGATCTTAGCTCTAACTCTGACAAATACTCATTCAAGTACTTTGCTTTAGACTGAAGTGTTCCTATGGACTTGCTACTGTTACTAGCATTCCTCAGGATAAACACTTACTTAAATATTTTACTTAGAAGTCAAGTGCTTACAACATCCTAACATCAAAACCCACTGAAATCAGTATAATCGATTACTACAGAGAGCTTGAGTTCTGAATTTTGAGTCCCACTGAAAAAACTGGCTTCTTGGATTTATGTATGTTTTGTCGTGGTTTTCTACAAAGTGGCTGAAAAATGTGGTCTTATTGTTTAGACCTACAAATTGATTTTTATTTATTTTTGGCAGATAAACACTAGATAATGAAACTCTATTGGCAGATAATAAGACTGCATTATGCACACTAAAAGCAAGTTCTAAATATGCTAGCAGAGTATCTTTTGCAGAGGGAACAGGAAATGCAACCCAAATCAGCGTGTACATTCAGTTGCTGAAGCAGAAACTCCTTTCAGCCTGTGAATAGGTCATGTTTTTTGTAAACATACATATGCTAGCCATATCAAAAAATGACAGGTAGTCTATGTAACGTGATTACATGAGAAAACACAGCACCAGGATCCCTAAAGCCAATTCTGTTCATTGATCCGTGAACTTGATCCTTCAAGTGTCAAAAGTTGAATGGAACTTCACGAGTTTTAAGCAAATGTCAAGTGTTCATATATGAAGTACATCATACTCACTTTGTCAGTACTTTTGCTTGATCTTGAGCTGTTTTTTCTACTTCCTGCCCATGTAGAATTAATTCTGCTACTTTATGAAGCTGTTCAATACAACGAGCAGTTACCTCAGCCAGACTTTCAATGGACCGCATATAGATTTCCTTAAATTAAAAACAGGGAATAATATAATCAATAATAACAATACTAATAAATATATATCTAGATAGATACATATAAAAGAATTTGAAACATAGCAGCCCTCCCCGCCCCAACTGGAAATACTACCACATACATAGTGGAGTAGTATCAGCCATAATGTCATCCTCACAATCAATACCGGGAAATGAAATATCCACAGATTATAAAATACAGACCTTCTATGCATCCTGAAAAATTAGTAAGAACAAGTTACCATTTATTTGGATGGGAACTAGGTCAGGCTTTCAGATTTTCTAACATAGCACTTTTAAACCTAGTCCTAACAAATACAAAGATCCCTTAACTCTAGAGTAACTCATAATTACTTTCATAGGGAGCCAAAAGTATTAAGTCATACCTCAGATGAATCTCCAGAGTAGAAATGGATAATACTTCCAATAAAAAAGTGGCTTTTATCATCAGTGATAAAAAATTCTACCTAGCCTAGCACTATGGCGTTACAGCTTTCACAAGCTGATGCCAGCTGGAAATGTGCAATCGCATAAAAATCTGTAATATATACAGTGGAACTCTGTCTCCATCTTTGGACCTTGTTTATAAGAAAACATGACAGATAATTTCTTTATTAGAATTAATTCAGAAAATCTTGACAAAGATACCAATCACATTTAATATTGCTATAACTTGGCATAAAATATTCAAACACAGCTAACCTTATCAACAAGAGGGGCTGTCTAAACAGACACTATACTTTTAGCCTTAAGAGCTATCTTTAACAAAGAGAATGTTCACTTGTGAGTTGCCTGAGTAATATTTCTGGTTTGTCTGTTTGTGATTTAAACTGTTTAAGAGTTTAAATAAAATTTGAAAATTTTTTCCATGTATTGTCACTGGGAGAAAGAAATGCCAAGGAATGTTGAGATATGACTTTCAATGTGCTATCAACATTACACCACAGAATCCCTCAGCTCACTATATGTTGTGTATACACATGCAGACATACAAAAATATAGATCTAAAAAAATAAAAACAATGCAATAGGCAGAGAACCTGATACTTTCATATTTACTTATGGGAACAGACTAACAGCAAAAATATTAATGTTAGTTAGCTTCCCATTCGGTCTAGAGTGAATAGTTATATATGAATATTTCTTAATACTTCCATGAGTTTAAAAAATAAGGACAACTTATAAAACCAACACACAAAGATAAAGAAGTAATCTTATCAAGCAAAGTATGACAATTTGCTCAATGAAACTTAGCCTCCAAAAGCTGTTTTACCTCCACAGTTTTGGTTTTATCTACTTCTGTTTTATCACTGTCAATTTTATCTTCCTTTTCAGTCTTTTCTTCACCAGGTTCTCCAGGTTTTTCTTTTAGATTCTCTTCTATGTCTACTGGGGTGGAAAAATGGGCTTCCTGCAGCCATTCATGAGCTTTTTTCCTAGCCTGCCAAACAAAGAACCCAACCTCAAATTTCAGTTCAAGTAGGGAATATCAAATTATGTTCCTGTACATTAATTAACAATACATTTAATTATTTCCTTTTTACATTCAGAAGATTAAACATATCAAGCCTCTGCATGGCATTTAGTTAAGTGTGTATTTAAGAAACTGTAGGGAGAAGCACTTCTGACTGCATAAAGATGGATGAGCCAGGGATAACCAACACAGAGAGTTGGAGTTAATACCAAAGTTATTAATATTTCAGCTTTATGAGGTATATTTCAAAGGAATTTACATAGAAATAATTTTCTCAAATAAAAACAAGCAGGTGGTATAAAAAAAGAAGAAAAAATATTGGAGAGGTAAGAGAGATGTACTAAATTCTTAAAAGAAAAATAAATAGAAAATCACTATCTTCAGCTGCCTTCCCAGGCATGAAAGTAGATCAAAGTGGAAAAGCCTTGAAGTTTTATACAATTTCAGACTACTGTTATGGTTAGTAGGAAATTTCTGATGTCTCTTTTTTAATATGAAGTCAAATTGAAGTATGTTAAGACCTAAACCTAAGCTAGTTATCCACAGTCTATCTACATGGCTAGAGAGATAAACATTCATCTGAGCCCAAGATCAGCAGGTGAATCACCTTAAAGGGGCCTGATAGTACAAATGTGGCTAGTACTGTGACTAGCTTCTGGCCAACTTTTAGATTAAGCTAGATAAGCTAAATCCAAGACTTTGCTTCTAGCTCAGAAGATTCTGGAGAAGAATAAACATGATGGGCAAGAAAAATAATTCTGAACCTGACCTTTGTTCCCTGCATGTAAGACCAAATCTGCCCTGCTAATGAATTTTGTTCTGTGGGGACACCTCTGGTTCAAGGCTTTCTAACACGGCCTGTTGTGCTAGCTAGTCACTGCGACTGTATTGCCTTACTAGTCTCACTTCTTCTACGAAAGCTTTTCTGTATTCATCACTTTAGTCCCACCCTCCTGTACTTTGTTTTATGAACTGTCTGCACTGGGATAGGTACTGCTTTGTGTCAGATTTCAGAACAAAACCCTCCCTCTTTGTCTTTGTCCAAGGAACAGAGGGCAGCTCACTAGCAGGTGCTGACCTTATTAAGTTTGTCAGGAGTAGCAGCAACGTGCAATTCAAACAGCAGTTCAGTGAGCATGCTGACAAACTCTTCTCCCATATCTGCTGCAAGAAAACACAAGACAACTTTTGTTAGGGTGTTATCACTATAATATTTTACATGATCAAATACATCCAGTCAAATAGTCTCCACAAGCACTCCAGCACCTGAAAAACAGTGACAGTGATACAAGAAAGGAGTGTGTGTGGGGGGGTGTGTTTATGCTCAAATAAAGAAGAGAACAAGCAACAGAGATACTTGTACAACCAGATATGCTAGCTTGACACTTTAACTACTCTTTCCACCCCATTCTAAATTCCACTAAGTCTCACAAAAACAGGTAAGAGGAGAAGCTGCATGATCCCGTGTTATCTGACAAAAATACACGACCCACAAAACAACCAAAGAAGAGATACTAACCTATTCTTTCAAGGAATAAAAACTGCAGCAGGGGCAGTGTTTTGCCAATTGACGGGGTTAACACAAAGGACACAGACACCAAGCTAAAGAAATAGGCTTATTTTACTTTGGTTTAAAGCAGCAGAAAGAATAAGCAAGGTAATGCACCTAGTCATTACTACATAAAGCTAGCTATAGTGATTAAGATACCTCACCAATTGCCCTCCTACTTTACCATCCCCCCGACCTGTGCATCAGCTGGGGAGCCCCGTCACAGCGAAGGATGGGAGAGCCTTTCCCGGCAATTGGGAAGTCCCACGCAGGGCGTCCGCTCGTAGGTGGGGTCTCCGTCTTTGCTGTGAGAGGGCCCGGCTTTTATACAGTTTAACAAACAAATCTGTACAAAATGCAGGGGAGATACCTGGTAGATTGATATGCCTCACTCAGGCGTGTCCGGATCTGGCCAGGATTCGGGCACGTCTGAGGAGTTTCCGTTTTTCTTTACATTTGGGATTTATATTTACTTCCTGATGTCTATTTATAGTTTTCAGGGATTGTTCCCAGGGTTGCATTTCACGCTAATAAGATGCTGGTTGCTTCATGCTGCTGATAAGATGCTGGTTGCTGGTCAGGGAATTCACTCAGAAGTCAACTTTGGTTTGAGGCCTATTGTTTGGGCCTTTTTTGTTCCAGCCAGATACAAATAAGTTTCAGAGGAAATGTACTAGAAAGCGTGTTCTCTGTTGCTCTGTCTGCAAATCACAGCTAAGAGGTGTGTGTTCTTTCTATTTTAAGATTGAGCTTTCTTTAAATGAAGAATGTTTTCTCTTCTGCTTTGCAGTAATGAGCCTTAAAGAATCTGCACTTTTATTTCACAAGATTTATGAGCAAAGATAAATATCACCAGTATTCAAACTTCATCTTTAATATATGCATTCTTTTGACTACCTGCAGTTCCCACATTCTAACATGCTCTAAGTTCTTAAAAGTTAGTATCTTGATTGGTTCTGTTCATCTGCACTTACTGAGTTTGGAATCTTCATTAACATTTCCTGGTGGAATATACAAAATCCAGGTTTTTTAGCATGATGACACTAAAAGGTCAATGTCTCCCTACTGAGCCTGATAAAAGTCCAACTGCTTCAAAAATTAATTTAATGTCTTGCTGTACTTCCACTTTTTTTGTTCATTTGTTAGGTAGAGCCAGTTTTTCCATTTTTATGCAAATTTTCCATACTGGGCTTAAAAGTGGAGGGCCATTACTCCCCAGGGAGATTGGGGATTTTGGTAGAACTGTTTACAGTTCACAGTACCTTGCAACATATGGAAAGGTGCTAGAATCTGACACTTGGATTATAGTCTCCTAGAGCAAAGGACATTTTACCCTTGCTTGTAAAGAGAGTGCCTATCTTTACCACTATAAAACAAATCAGTATTTAGCACAAAGAACTCTTCACCTGCAATGACCAAGAGACTAAGATCTCCTCTTAAAAGCAGGGGAACAGTCAAGAAGATTGTATCCTGGCAGGCCAAAGAGATGCACAGAGTTAATTTCATTGCTGCCCGTATCAGTAAATTTTGGCAATAGGATTTTCAGGTTTTGCAATACAGCACCTCTTGGATACACTGAATTCACTTGTTCTTAAAACAATGCCAAATTGTTTTATAAACTACAGCATGCTGAAAACCGATCAGCAGTTCACTGAATCAATGCAAAATTACCAAAATTGTTGATAACTGGCATATTCAATTCAATTCAATACTTACTTCGGTTACCATCTCCCTTAACCTCACATATGAAGTTTTTGTTATTAATGGCTTTCAACATGTAAGTAAAGCTACTTTTTCAGACATTCTCCTCTCATTATTTCATAAACAACTGAAAGGAAAAGAAGCTGCAGTGAAACCTACATGAAAGGGTTGTATAAACCAAGCGAGAGGAAACATCAGAGAGAAGGGTATGCATCCGGCTTTCTTCTACTTGTGTCCAAAAATACTTCTCCTTTTCTTTCTTTTTGTATTGATTTTGCACCTGGCTGTTAGGCAAAACCACAAAAAAACTACGATTCCAGTTTCAAAGTTGCCAAGAACAAAGCCTAGCCCCAGTCCTTTCCCAAAAGAGTCCTCCAAAGATCACTGCAGTAATTTCTCCTTGTGTAGGATGGAAAGTGTTTACGGTAGAAACTAAAAGCAGTACTAACATCGCTAAGTGAGATCCTGAGAGTCTAGGATAAGAAGGGATCCTGAGAGTTTACATAAAACAAATAGCCACCCTTTTCAAACACTTGAATGCAAAATACAGCAGCTAGTCTTCTGTTTGCACTAACCATATAAATAACATGACTTTGATGATGAAAAAGTGGTAACAAATAAATGGTAATTGTTTTCAAATACAGCTCAGTGGCCAGATAAGATTCAATATTTTCAAATACCTAATCTCTGTTAACAGTTAATCTCTGGGTTTTTTAGGTGGGTGGCTTCCTTACATAAAGGAAAAAACCACAACTTTTATTGTGCTAGGAAACACAAATCAAAATCCTACTGAAGTCAAGTTAGTTGTAGTTTTAATCTGTTCAGCAAGCAGGATTAAAACTCAAAATTCCACCACAGAATTTAACATGGCCTACTACCTCTTGCTAGATTAGTTAGCTTAAGTAAAACTATGTAATTCTGTATAAAAAATACTCCATTAGAAGAGCATGTGGATTACTGACGTGATTTTATAAGTATAGAACATATTAATGTGCTTAAAAGGACCTTGATTGTATTACCTAGCTTGAGCTAAGAACACAAACTAGAATGAAGTATTCTCTTGACAGCAGAATGTGAGCTGCATTTAATCCAGATCAGTGAATCTGTTGTTAAACTTCACTGTCTTTTATCTATGCTGGGTATCAAATGATGTCTAAAATTTTTTTGTAACATTAAACACGGACCATTTTCTTAATGTAAATATTAATTATGCCACATAAATATGCTTAAGGTCCCAATAAGTAATTTCAGGTAAATAATTAGTTTTAAAAAAACCAACCAAACAAACAAAACACAAATTCAAACCTAGACCCTAAAAGATCAATTGTGCTCCCAGAAGGATACATATTGATGCCCCCTAGAAAGCTAAACTTATTGGTAAAATATGACCAGAAAACTAAGTGTAGTCAATAGCAAGCCACTGGAATCCAACTTAAATCATGTCAAGATTGGCAAACTAAAGTATCTGTGAAACATTAAACCGTTCAACAGAACTGTGCTCTGTGAGGCGAAAGGGACATGCAAATCACATGCAACATTACATGGAAAGGTGCTGGATATTGCTTTTATCTAAAAATGGCAGACAATTGTCATGTAAAGGCCTATTAATGGACTTCTTTGAGTTTTATGACATTTTATGCTTTTGTTGCATAAATGCACATAATAAGATCACTTAGGATCCCATCTATTAAGAAATTCAGGAAAAGGTCTGTTTTCCCTGACTCAGGAGGATCCTAAGAAGCCTTCATTCGCTCTGACAAGATTTTAATGAAGAACTGGGAAAGGTACCCAGACTAGGACACTGTCTAGAAGGGACATGTCAAAGAACTATACAGTGTTAAGAGCACTATCAATGCAGTGTTGAGTGTACTGTGGGTTATGGGTGAGAGGCTGAAGAAAGAAGTAAAGGCCACATGTCCCAGGTTAGGAGCCTGACCACACAAGTGTAGGCTCAGTCATATCAGAAAGCTACTTTGAGAAGTGATTTACTTTTCCATTCTTTTGGTGTCCTCCAGTAGAGCTGAAATTTATCCAACTTAATACCAATAGATGAAATTTATTTGTAGTTCAAATACTAACAAATTTTGAGCCAAATCACACTAAAGGACATGAGTCATTTTGAACTGCAGCCTGAAGTAACACCCATTCAACTGTAAGGTGGAAAGAAGATGTGTGTAGTTATTATTTCCGCTGCCACAGAAAGGAGGATATGTTTCACTGCTGACTGGTTTGCTTTAGCAGGGGAAAACCTGAAGCACACTGATTTGTTTCATTTTGTTTTGTGGGTTTTTTTAAGGTGCTCACTGCCTTGGTTCCCACCTATATAAAAGGCCAGTTTGGGTTTCAAGGAGTATGATCATCAGCTGTGCTTCACTGAAAAAACAGAACATCTGACCACCAGAGAAAACATCAGTGAGAGTGAAAACAACACTCGTGCAAGAAACAGCTTTTACTGGGGGCTGGTTTCAAAGCAAGGAACTATTTCCCACAGAAATTAAGCAACAACAGACATCTTATGAATCCTCATCCTTAAGCTAGTAATAGACTTTCTTGACTTCTATTTCTTACAACCCCACAGAGGAATGTGGGGTTTTAAAGAGTAATGAGGGCAAAAACCCAGCACAAGACTCTACCATAGTAAGACTTTACACTGAACACTTGCTGTCTGCCCCGAGAGAAAATAGCTGTCTGTGAGACACATCAGGCATACTGAGCAAGCATTGCTAGAAATAGCAGTCTAGGCAGAACAGACTTTCCAGTTAGAACATGTGGATGTTAACACATTTTTTCCAATTTTTCTGAAGGCTATAGGAATCATACCTCACAATCTTGCAAAATGTAGGTTTTATGGGCAGAGCACCCCTGAGAAGATCAAGGGGATGTGGAAGAAATATCTTTTTATGTTTCTGTGTTTCTGAAACACAACAATATGGTGTTCGATGGAATAAACCAGTCTTCAGTCAGGTCAATGGGATTGTTTCTATTACCTAGAAGAGATTTGGTATGGATCTCACAGGCCTACAGACATGAACTATGGTGGCTCCAAAACTTTCAGAATACACAATTTCATAAATAGACTTTGTAAGAAAACCTCAGTTACCCAAAAGGTTATTATTTTCCCTTCTTATTTTTGTTTTGCTCTCACTGATGATATAGCAAAGTAATATAATACTTCCTTAAGTTATATTTTCTTTTTCACACTTCAATTACAATATAAATTGAAAATTAAGCATTGATCAGCTTCCAGAACTTTGAGAGTATTAATTTTATTCACACCTTATGAAGAGTATTAGGATATCAGAAATCATAGTTTGGATTGTAATTTTTTTAATGACTATATACAGAAGTAGCAATTACTCATATGGTTAAGTCTCTGTATTTCTAATTACCTTTCTGTGCCTGCACCACTTCGTCATCTGATTCCTTTGGAACAAAAATCTCTTTTATAGCAATTAAATCATTTTTCACAGTCTCCAACTGCTCTCCATCAAGTGTTGCTAAATATGACTGAATCTGTAAAAGAAAGGACAGTAAGTATTCCTAACCAAAACAGAGCATTTCTTAAATGCTAATTTAGAGCCCGATACCAAAATAGGCTGAGAAATGGAAACTTCTGTTATGCTCAAATCTTGTCTCTAACCTTTCAATGTAGACACATTTTCAGTTCTCATCAACAAAATTTGTTGAGTATCATAAAAATTACACCATCTTTGCAAGCTCATCAGGTCTCTACCTTCTCCTAGAACATTAGTTTTGTATTATAAATCTGTGGTTTAATTGCAAACTGTAATAAGCATTTTGGGATTGCTTGGATGAAGACAGCAGGCAAGAAGAGCACAGGCAGAATTACTGGCTAGTCTGAGCACTCATGGGAAGAGTTGGAAAAAGAAGCCTGTTTCCCCTCCTTCAAAATGCAACCAAAATTATCCATAGTCTACCAGTCTACCTGTTCTGAAGAATGTATTGACAGGACTTTGCATGTCTCAGGTATCTGCAAGTCCCTGCATATCTAATAGGGTGGCATGACTAAGAAGGATGGAAAAAGATTATTTAGATCACTGTTTGTTTGCACTAGAGTTATGATGTTAAGTCCATGATTGCAGCTTCTGCCTATGGAAGTCAAGAGAAATGCCTTCTCTCCCCTTGATTCAAAATTTACTTTTAGGTTTGTTTCAAGGGTTTTTTTTTAAGCTTGCGTTACAGCCATGAAGACTGGCTCAATGAGAGACTAGAGAAAGATGTTTTCTTATGCTCATCCTTGATGTATCCAGCTCAGATGCTCAGGGTTAAATGCAAGATAAAGTTGTGAGACCCAACTTGGGTTGTGATGGGCTTGTGAAGCACTACCTAGGGCTTTGTTGTCCCTGTCTATAGCATTAACCAATTTCATCGGATTAACCGGGAACTTTTTTTAATGGAAACTTTTAAAATAAAAAGTTAGAAATATTTTTAAGTCCCTGCTATTAGAAGCATAGGACATTGGCAATGCCTTCAGTCTCTCTTGTGCTCCTCCTATGGCTTTTGGGCTGTTAGTATAGGTCTCAGGCTTACAGTCCTGGAAGTATTTTGTGCATATGTGTATGGTAATCGGTATATTTGTCAGGGCATTGGACTTGTTGACCCACACAGTTGCATTCAATCCTGTTGGAGTGAGTAGGACTATGAACAAGGGGTTATCTAGGACATAACATGAAGCACATCAGAAACCCCACGGGAACAACCTGCACAAGTCTGACTGACCCTGTGGTAATTCACAGTAAAAATTTTTAATTTTTCATTTAGACATACTGGCAAAAAATAAACCCAACATGGGCATTATGTACCTAGCTGTTATTAAGATAAGCTTCTTTTATTTGTGAGAGCAAATTTTAACAAGCTGATTATTTTTTATTAAAAATAACCCAGAGAGCAAGGAGTGCTAATTATAAAAACAAAAAAGAAAACTTGTATTTTAAGAAATTTATTCAGAAAACTGTTTCAGTACAAAATACCACTACTGGGAATCTACAAAATTCTATTAATCTACTGTCAAAGATCTACTGTTCTACTAGCAGAGGCAATAAACTGACAGCTGAAATTAAAAAATATATTTATCATATAGGCCTGAGTAACATTAGCGTGTTCTTCAGAGAGACATTTGTATACTTCCAGTAAGAATATATTAGGGTAGTTTTATGTAGCTTTAAAAACTAACACAATAAAGAAGGCTTAGGAATTGAGTAAGTAATTTGGAATTAATTTTGATTCACTAGCCTCCAGGTGTAGTAGGTCTGGAATTCCTGAATGTATCAGTGCCTGACACAAAACCAAAAGACTTCAACTTCCTTGCAAATTCTGAAAATACATCTGCACAGTGTCACAAGCTGAAAAATATATGGTCCCAACAGAAATAACTTTCAGTTATGAAGTTGTTTGTTTTGAGTTAATCTTGCAGTTAAATTTGAGGTGTATTGAGATTGATTTCCTGAAGCCAAGCACTGGCCTATGAGACCAATCCAACTTCCTTTGAAGTTGATGGAGAACTTACTGTTCATTCCACATGCACCTGCAGAGTGAAATTAATGTAAAGATCAATTTTTACCAACCATTTTGATTTATGCTGTCTGCATACTATACCTGAGCTTCACTCTCATTTGACAGGATTTCCAGAGCTTCAAGATGAGACAAACCTTGGAATTCATCAAAAAGTAGTCCATAATGTGCAGTTCTTTCAACTGTAACTTGCTGGGCCCGCCTCTGTTTCTCTTTTTCTTTAGCTTCTCGCAATAGCTGCAAAAATACACATCATTCCTGTTGTGCTGTAGGTACAACAGATTTTATTACTTTCTGCTTGTCTAGGAAGCAGTAATAAAATCTGGGACTGTATCACACCTGCAAAGCTGAAATATCTAACTTCTTTTTTGATAAACTTCTCTAATAAAATATTTAAGTAGTATCCTAAGTGTGGTTTTCCCAATGGTAACTGCTAACCATAATTTTTAAAAAACAATGAACAAACAAATAATCTTGCTTATGCTCTCAAAAGCAGTGTCAGCTATGGATACTCTATAATAAATTTAGCTACTACTTACAATGAAAGAAAAATAAAAAGGACTATTTCATACACAGCCTTAAAGAGTCACGCAATCCATTCCAGAGAGCACAAAATAGGAAGAATATTATTTTTTGGACCTGCCTACCTACTTGCATAAATAATACACCTACATAAATATTTCCTGTAAAATATTTTTAGCAGACACTAAAGTCAGCTTTATGTGACAGCGGGACTGACAAAAGAGATTGGCCTAATAACGTATGACTTCTACCAAAGGTGGGGTAGAACTACCCTCCATATACTTGGGGATATTTTGGAGTGATTTTCTTATACACTTCTGTTAGTGTATAGGTAAAACAGTGTATAGAATAGGGTCTTCTATTCCTTCTTTCTATTCCTAGGAAGGAATGGCCTCTCATATGACTTTGCTACAGTAAAGCTGGTAAATACATCTGAACTACATCCTAAGTCACATATAAGCCTCCGAATACAGGTGAACTCTCACCACTTACGCTATTCCATCATTCAAAATTTCTACAGCATTATTTTCAGTTATTCATTTGTTACAAAAGAGTTATGATGGTAGATTTTTCAGTCTCTACCTTCAAAAGATCAATCACAAAGTTTTATGCACAAATCACTGAAAAGGAAGTACTGTGTTATGAGAGCTATAAGAACTGATTTATGTCACTCTCCACCTCATATTTTATGTGTGAATTCATACATATTCTTTAGGAAGGTAGTCTCAAAAGCTCATTTTAACCCTGTGGGCCTTGGCAAGAGTTACTTGCTTTTGGCCTACTACAACAGTATCAGTCTGTTCACACTTAAAATGACAAACGCTAAAGATGAAACATCTCATTAAAAGAAAAAATACTTTACTCCTCTCTACAAGGAAGTAAACATGTAGTAAAATTAAAGGTTTTTTCAATATCTGTTGATTTCCACAGCCTCCCTCCTCTCAGGGTCTGGAGAGCTAAAATAATTTTGTGCTGACAGCACTTATACTTCTGTTTTTATCATGCCTCTGAACTTTTAAACATATGAGTCACGACTGTGTAAGGGTACCATTAGTTTAGATGGATATTAAGATAAAACTTTTCACAGCTTTAATTCCTAACAAAACATATGTCATATTCCAGTATTACTCATTTCCAAGTAAAGTTGTATAGTGATGTTTATGCTGGAAGATATCTATCTACAGCTGTTACAAAAAGATCAACAATTTAATTCTGTCTCCAGAGTGTAATGATTTATCACCACATATACTATCTTACTAAAATCAGCTACTGCACATGTGATTATGCAGAAAAGATGATTTTGCATTATCTTTTGTAGTTCTGTGAAGAAAAATAAAGCCGTGCATATATAAAGCATAATATTTATTTTCATAAGTCTAGCCAGTATCAACCGCAATAAATAAAGCCTCTCCCTGAGGCATCTGGAATGCTGGAAAAAGAATCTGAAACTGCATTGACAGAGCTGTATTTAAATAAATCCAACCTGAGATAGAGAAACTGTTCTTGCCATCAGTGTTTTGGTTCTCTTAAATCCAGGATCGCTTTCTGCAAGGACATTCATGGTTGTCTTTCCAATAAATTCCAAAGCATCTAAGCCTCCAGATAATACACTTTTCCCCTGTATAAAATAATGCAATGTGGTTATTTTCTTTCCACTTTATGCTAATACGAACTATAAAGAGTACTGCTTTTGCTGACACTGTCCTTGAACATTCAGGTCCCTAGATTTTCTATGCTTTAACTAACAATAGGATTGATACATTTATAAAATGATGTTACTTTGTTCTATTTTCAAAAAGAAAAAAGCATGAACTATACCAATATCTCTAGTTAATTAAGACTCACACCAGAGGAAATGTCACATGTTGCCAATGATAAGATTATGAATAATACCACTTTAATTTCATTTGAAGGGGCATCTAATCCATGGGAACATATTTTAGATATGAATATGAATATATTCAAATCTAAAATAAATATCTAAATAGATATGATTATGAATTTTAGATATTGAGCCAAAGTACAACACAAACAGGATGACTCTGCCTTACCTAACTGGTTTCTAAAATTTTAACAATTGTGATGACTCTGGAACTGTCTATCGAAATACAGTTTTTCCTGTGTCTTCATACAAGAAAGCCAGAGAGGGACTTTTTACAGGGTCATGCAGTGATAGGACAGGGTGTAATGGCTTTAAACTGAAAGAGGGTAGATTTAGGTTAGATATAAGGAAGAAATTCTTTCCTGTGAGGGTGGTGAGACACTGAAACAGATTGCCCAGAGCAGCTGTGGCTGCCCCCTCCCTGGCAGGGTTCAAGGCCAGGCTGGACGGGGCTTTGAGCAACCTGGTCTGGTGGAAGGTGTCCCTGCTCATGGCAGGGGGTTGGAACTGGATGATCATTAAGGTCCCTTCCAACCCAAACCATTCTATTATTCTGTGATTCATATTAGTATAATTTTTCATGTACACTGAAGAAAAATTTTCACTGGCTAAAGATTTCCATTTCAATCTGGATTATGCATCTGTCAGATAGATACTCAAATGCTGATGTAACCTGATATATAAGGGAAAACCCTACCAAAGTCTCAAATGGCATTACAGGCAACTTACTGAGACCTTAAGTTATTCTTTTTGTTTGTTGACGTTCATCACTCTAGGTTTGCATAAGAGCACATTTCTCTTATTGGCAAATCTCATACGATGCTCAGGTAATCTTACTGGTGTCCAGCTCTCACATGCCCTATGATGCTTCAGATTCTGTAGCAACAGTCTTAGGAATAACCTATAGGAATCTTACTCTGCTCCCAAAATCTTTGATATTAGAATGATGAGGCACTCAGAGTGAACTGAATACGCATTAAAAAAGAACTGCCACTTCATAAAACATGCTCAATGGGGAGTTAGTCTTCTATGCTTTTTTAGCTGATGCTTAAAGTCTCTTATAATTTCAAGGGAAACACCATACTGAAAAGCTCAGATGAAAACATTCACTATGGTAATAGTGTGTAAAAAATGTTGAGAAAGAAGATGACACAAAAATTTATATGGATACAGCATGGTACAGTATTTTGCAAAAGCTCAAACACAGGAAAACAGAAAAGGATGAAATGCGACACACAGAAAATACATTGAGGGTGTAATAGGAAAGAACCAACTACAAAAGATTTTGTCTCACTGAGTCTGCAATCAGAACACCCTCTGGGAAGGCTAATATGAAATGAGAGACTAGATAGAGGTGAAGGTAAGGGCCAGGGACTAACAATACAGAGTTTAGTAAAAGCCTTAAATGTGCAAATGAAGTATTTTCTTGTTTAATCTGTCTTCAAAAATGTTAACAAATCTTATCATACTTTCTCTGGAAGGACTTAACTGTAAAAAAAATTAGATGATGGTACCAAAACTGTAAGAAAGATTTCCCAAGAATTTGGAGAATTCTATACAGTTTAGGATAAGACCATATTTTTGATTGAAACTGGTGCCAAAGTAGTGACTGACTTAGTTGTGTTTGACTTTTTTTTTTTTTTAATTTGATGCAGATATTTTGCTATGAAAAAGACTCTGAACAGACAACAGAACTGTTTTTACAAAGACTTACAACTTAACAAATGTGGCCTACAGTGAAGTTGTACCTAAAAATGGTGAAAAAATAACTAGAGCAGAAAGGCCAGCTAAAATTACTCACTGTGTTCTGTACAGCATTAGTGATAGCTGACAACATGCCACGAGATCCAGATGAAGGAGAAGAAGGAATATTTTCAGAAGAGCTTTGGTCCAGAGAATCTTCTGCTTCTAACAAAAGAAAATAAGCTATAGCATACTTTCAACTCTACAAGTCACAAATTACAGTAAACTGGATTCTGTGATCAAAATCTTAAAATTTTGTAAATTGGACTAATTTGTCAGTGTCAAAGAGTTTTGTCCAATTTCAGTGAATTTGAACTTACGTGTAATTGGTGTTTCAGCTGCAGGAGGCTCTGCTGTTTCTGAAGATGCTGAACTTGTGTTATGAATTCCTAGGGTAGTTCCTGCTTTTTCCTTCACTGCTGTTATCCCATGACCTGCAGCAGAACCATATTTTAGATTATATGATTTGAAAACTTATTACTAATGGTGCATACTATTCTTATACTCCATGCATAATGACAATCAGAATAACTATTAAACTTACCATAATGGCTTATTTTTTTCTAGATTAATAATTCACTTGTTCTACTATATCCAGTCTATTTACTGACTAGAAATTACAAAGCTGAAATACAATGAGACTGGATCTGAAAAATGAAACCTGTTTCAGTGGCACACATAAGTTTAGTTCCCCGCTTTTCAAAATGCTAAATATTCTATTACAGTCAGTTTAAAAGAGAAATCGATGGTCCTTCTAATCCCATAGGAGGGATCTCCTCTAGTTTTCAGAAGTCTAGAACAAGTAACCCACCATTAATGGACTGTGGGTGACTGCAGGGCTGAGGTAAGGAATCTATTCTTCAGTGCTGCATAGGTGCTATGTTAGGTATTTTGGGAATCCTGACCTGGGGCCTCAAAGTTATTTCAGGACTTAAGATCCGTAGTTGCTCATTTGAAGTCAAATTCCAAAGCGTTTCTCCTCAAATCTGCTATTTAAATATACTTTGTTAAGTCTGTTGGTGCCAGATGACAAAGACAGAATTATTGTTCCAGTGGAAGCCGATCTCCTACAGATATTTTACCACCTTTACCTGACACATATGTAGTGACTCCCTAACCCTCTGTTCTATTAAAATGGTCTATTTCAATGTAAAGAATATTTGTTATTAGTGTGTTTATCTGAATAATTTTGGCAGAATGGGGTTGCTTTGATGCTTTTCTACACAGTTTATTTATGCTAGCAGGTCACAAGGACTGGTAATATCCCGCTATAGGATCGGGTGGGATTGCCTGGTAACCAGCAAAAGGAGGCAGTAGCTTCCTAATCTATATTAGCTGTAGTTGAAAAACACTGCCCTTAAAAAAAGACAACCCTCAAATTGTCTGCCTATTCTGCTTCTGGATATATGCACAAGTACGTTCATGATAGGCTTCTCTCATCACAAATGACCCAGCTAGGACATCTTCCTTAGCTGCAGGTTTCTGCACAGCAGCTGAGATGCACTAAGTAAACAACCAACCAGGAGAGCAATATTTCTTTGCAACACAAAATGAAATGTCCTCAGTGACCCTATTTGATTTTTTCTTGCACAGTACACCGTTAGTACATCTCCTGTAAAGCTTGTAACTTCTAGCAGTAGAACAATACAGAGTGCTCTAACTATCTGCCTAACTACTTATGAGAAGTATTAATGACAATTTCATACTTCTTTTCTTTGTTACCTTAAACTGAACTGTAAATAGATAAATGATTTCAGAAAAGGCATTAATACAGATGCTCAGGCAGATACCTAGACATCTAAGGCATGAAGTCAACCATAACAATTCATTAAATGTTGTCCATACTTTCCCACAATTGTGTGCACTTTCTACTACAAAATTTGAAAGCATCTTTTCTGAGTTATATTAACTACAGCAAAATAGCCTAACGTTTGCCAGTGCTCTGCAGTGTTCTGAATAAACATATACATATATGTGTGTGTGTAGTCATACAAATATGCTTTTGAATACCCGATTAAAGAAAATTGCAGCAAAACTATTTGAATTGGAGTAGGAAGAAGGAAAGATTAGATTTATGAGACTATAGTTTCCAAACAGGTTGCACATCAAGTGCTCTGTGAATTCAGTAATAAATATGTGAAACAAAACTACTGAAAGATCATGTACAAGAAAACTGGAGTATCTGGAGTTAAGCACAAAGAACAGATGTCCTCTAAGAACAGATGAGCAGGAACAAGTAATTTTCTGTATGACAGCATAAAGCTGCATGGGCTCCTGACATTTTACAACAAAACAGAGAGACTAGGCACGTAAATGCTTTTACACATCTAAAGAAAATATGACTTTAGTCTATTGTATCTCATGCCTTACAAAATGTAGCAGTATGTCCAACTCTACAGGATATAGCATTCTGCAAAATCTGTTCTAATGCTGATACTGGAGAGCAATGCACTACTTTGTCTAATCCCAATGTCCAGCACATTTTAATTGGTTCAATGAAAATATTAGCATGAATAGATTCTGGAGTCATTACTTTACTCTCCAAATTCCTGGGACTCATTTAAATAAGGTAGCATTTTCAGGGCTATGGTTACACGCACTAGAATGATAAGAAAATATTTCAGGTCAGCTAGGAGTGGTTTTGCTGAACTAAACTGTATGGCATGTACGTTTGACTACAACAACAAAACCAGATGAGATCAGCAGACCACAACTGGAGCATGTCAGCACTGTCAGATACACATGCATCCACAAACACAGCAGAAGCGCATGTTGCTTCGGAAATTAAAATGATTACCTGTAATTTCAAAAAGCACAACAATAAAAGAGGTTACGGGAGATAAGCCTACATATTAGAGATAAAGGTGCTCTGGTTTTGTTACACTGGGTGTGTTAATACACTGAGCTGACACTGTAAATTTAGAACACCGCTGATGTCTCCATTTACTCATCTCTAACAGCAGATACAGAAGAGCTTGCAATGGGTATTGTTACCTGGATGCTTTTTGAAGAAAACATGGTTTTTTTCCCTGTGTTGCTTTTGTTCTTGTCTACATGATTTTTTTCTATTGGCTGGCAATTTCAGCAGAATATCGTTGTTCGTCTTGCTAGCTGGAATCTTTCATTTGAAAAGGAACATTTTGCAAGCAGTGCCTAAAAACGTGGCTTGCTTTGAGTTTGCCTGATCTGCCCAGGGCCAGATTACAGCGCTCACAAATGCTTTAGTCGGATACATCCCACTTCACTTCAGGCTCTCTTATCTTCCACCTCCCAGTTTAGCAGCTCCGGATTCCCTGCAGAGCTGAGAGGCCAACAGACAGCTCCGGAGGGCAGTTCAGCATGTCTGAAATCTAAACCATTCTCTGTAGGAGTTGCTGCCCCTTGTCAGTGTAGTACAGGCAAATGGACTCTCTGCTTCAGTGGTACAGATGGGGAGGAAGAGATTGAGATTTTGACGCTGGCTACCACACAATCTTTGTCATGTGCTGCACCATGGGGCATTTCTGATGAACAACGAATCAAAATTTAGCCTAGTAAAATGACTGAAGCTTCATCTGGTTCAAGACAAAGATGAAGATTAAGGCCTTAAATTAGCATCTGACACTGACTGAGAAACTGAGGAGCCTGATGATGGCTGGGGTGGTATCACTACCCTGTATGAAGTACAGGTATGTGGAAAAGCCAGCTGTGCTCTCATTTTGTACACAAAAAATGTGGGACCACATTGTGCTCACTTTGAGGTTATCTTATTGGCACTCCATCCACTTCAAGCCGTAGAAAAATTCTCTTCCTTGTAGTTAAAACAAAAACACAGGCTAGATTCTGATAATACCTATGCTATCCAGTCTGTAGATCAGAAATAACTCCAATTAAGCTAGTAAATGAGACTAGTTTCAGATCTTTTTACTGCAATGGTAAAATGTTGTAATAATAGCAATAGGCATAAAGGCTGCTACACAGATTACTGGCTCTCAGTCTCTTCTAAATCCAAAATGCATGTAAAAAGACATAAAGCAGACGGGACTTCCATCCCCAAAAGCATGGCCACATTCCTCTGATCTGTTACTCGCATTCAGTATTCTTAAAAAAGAACTGTGAAAAAGGGGTTTGCTGCTACAGCAGCTGTACAGTATTTAAAAACAGTTGAGTGACCACCATGTGATTTCAGGCCCCAAACCAGTTTTCCCTTAATCAGCTGAATTTATCCAATGGAGAAAAAAAAAAAAAAAAAAAAAAAATTATTCTGTCCTTTCTGTGACCACATAAGGTACAAGCATAACACCTAGCCTCTGGCTTTTTTATAGTTCTTTATTTCACAACAGGGCAACAGTATCTGTAAAGGATGGAAAAGACATTCACATCATTTCACTACTTCAGTTTCGCGTTATCTGAAGCATTTGCATTTCTGTTCCACACAGACTTCAATTTAAGGTATGCAATGACTGTTACACATACCCATGCACAATAATATCTAAGCTCATGAACACAGTGACATCACAAGTGGCATTTCATTGTCATACTGAGTGACAAAAGGTTTTTAGCACACCAGGGAGAACTATGGGTGTCTGATATTTACATGTGCTATTCTATTAGGTGAAGAACTAGATGAGGAACATACACAAGCACATAATAATCAAGCTAGCAGAATATTAATGGTAAGCAATGCATAAGAGAGATGCATTAAGCAGCCTTATGGTATGAATTTTAAAGACCATGTAAATTAAACATCTGGGTTCTATTTTTTATTACTTTTATTCTATAAGAGGTATTGACAGATGCTGATCTTCTCAATGGCAGGAGAACTTTAAAAAAACAAACTTACATGGTGTGAAGTACATGCATACAGCATGACAGAGCACAGACTTTGCTTAGAAATGCAGCTTGTTGAGCAGAATAACTTAAGCACCTTATGAACGCCGTAATTCACCTGTACAAAACAATGCAGCATGTGAAAGGCAAGGCTTGTAGAAGGTAGTAACTTTCATTAAGCTAGCAGATAGGTTAGTTGGAAAAAGAACCAAACAGGCAAGCTTTCAAGCATACAAGCTGTTTTTAAAAACGGAAGTCACAAGCTTCAAGTACAGACTGAGAATATATTTTGCCTCGCTTAAGCCCTGGGGATAAAAGGTTTGCTGTTACAGCTAAACTGACCTAATGGCTTCTCAGTGCTGGTATGGGAGGTTCTGCTCCTTCCATGTTCCATATTTGTCTCTTCTGCTTGCCCTGGCACTTATCTCAGTGAGTTCGTTCAAGGAACTGAAGAGGCAGAAAAGGGATTTTTCTTTCCCCTAGAGTTACTCTTCTGTCAGTTTAGCTTCCTGAATGGATTATTGGGAGCTCAGGGGAGCATGAGTGCTAGCATAGAGAGGAGGAAGAAACATGAAAGGAAAAAGGTGCAGGAGTGCACATTTCAGCGGCTGCTCATCGTTAGATTGGCTTAGCTGTAATGGTAACCCACTATTAGAGCAGAGTTTTATCAACACTGTTACTAAAACACAGGATGGTGTAATTGCTGATATACTACACAATACAATTTAAAAGAAAGAGAGTAAAATGGTGACAGTAAGTACAAGTTGTGTCTTCAAATCACAGTAAGCCTTCTTCTCCCACCTCATCATCCCAACAACTATTTCAGTGGATCTACTCCAGTGTGGTTTCACAATGGGGGAAGCCAAACACCCTGCATCTTTTAAAAACAAAACAAAACTCTACCTCATTAATGAGGCAGATTCAATAGCTTTCTTAGTGTGACATCTAGTGTCAGACACTAAACGTGGTTCCGGCAGTGACTGCTACTAATCCAAAGGCATTATAGATTCTGCTGTGTAAAGGAGTATCACATCTGCCCTGTGGTGGGGACCTTTGTCCAAATAATGTCAAAATCAGTTCAAAGAGAACAGACATTTTCTGTAGCATACAAAACCATCACCAAACCAGTCACTGGCTATATGTGCAGAGCTAGGTAAAGACAGACAAAATACAAATTATATGGAAACTACCTTATTATTAGAAACTAAAATCAGCTATGCTAAACAAATTACAGCTGTGCAGTAAAAAATGCTAATCTATTTAGGAGCTCTAAATCAGGCATTGAAGGATAATGAAACCAAAATCCTTGGAACAACTATTTCAGCTCATTCCTTTCCTCTTCAAGAGAAAGGAATGCAAGAAAGAAATTTATTGCAGTAAGAACAATCACGCACAGCAAAAACCTCCGCAGGGGTGTGGTAGAGTCCCCATTGCTGGAGATTTTCAAGATATGACTGGACAAGGTGCTAGATAATCTCATCTAGGTGCTGCTTCCCACAAAAGCCTGGACTAGATGATCTTTCGAGGTCCTTTCCAACCTGGGTTGTTCTATGATACCATTTGTTTAAAAGCTGAATGTATTTGGTTAAGCCTTTAGGATGTTATCTAGTCCACCTAAAAATGTTTCTGCTATTTTTACAAAGTATAATTTTGAAGAAAAATGTAAGGAACAGTAATTATTTGTCATACTTAACCAGAGAAGCAGCTGTGTTGTGCAAAGATAACAACAGACCAAGAGAAAACTCACACACTGAAGGTGTTGCTGATAAGTCTCATTCCAAGAAAGCAGCTTTACTTGTACCATTTGCTACACTGAAGGAAAAAGCATTAAAATAGACTTGATCATGGCAAACCTAGTTTCTGATGTAGAACAGGAGATGAAGTGTTGGTTGAACTGCTCAGATATTAAATGGAGTAACTTGAAGGAGAATAATAAATATTTAATAAAAAGAAGAAAGCTTATAGAAATTCCCAATAGCTTTATTTTTTTTTCTCTCTGTCTCTCGCTAGGAAATATCATACTGAAATAGATATATGGTATATGAAGTCCCACATCCTGTCTATAACAGTGACAGATAGTAAATACTTCACAGAATCAAGCATGGATTTCCATAACAAGCAACTAGGAAATAAGCCCTCTATATTAGGAATATAAACTACTACCTGCTGCATTGATTTCCTGGAATAATTCTAAGATTATCTGTGTGGTCTTCAAAGTTACCTTGGGTTCAGTGAACAAAGAAGAATGTACATTTGATTTCTGCTTAACTCAAAGTCTATTTTATTTAATAAATCCACAGAGAAAAGTTAGATCCAAAGTTATTATATAGTAATGAGACCTCAACCCTACTCTGATGCCAGGGTCAGGTAACTGTCTAAATTACAGATTCCATAAAACGCAAAGAGAAAAGTGGGGAAGTACTGCTTTACATACACCTGGTTTTAGACCCTTTCCCAGTTGCCCTTGGTCACTGCCAGAAACTAGACAGTAGATGGCTCTTCAGTGTGACATGGTACAACCATTTTCATGTAAATTAAAATTATTTTTAAATTTTCTTTTTTCTTTTCTACATGTGGATGCTCCTTTGCCTAGGCAACTTGACCTGTTTCAACTGTGCTCATTTTTAAATAATAATAATTCTAAATATATATATACATGATGATGATATGCCTATTCAAAATAGACATCACACAACCTTATCAAGACAGTCTGCCTAGACAACAAACTTGTTCACATATTTACACTGTGAAAATAGCCATCATGCTGATACAGTCAGATGGTATGCTAAGAAGCCAGTATTAATTAAGTATGAATTTTTAATGTATATGAGCCCAGATGTTTTAAGGCCCACATAAAAATGAGATCACATCATTAAAAAGTCCATGGAAATCCACAGAGATACAATACTTGCAGCAGGTTTTATAGAAAAAAGCAACAAACAGCTGTAAAAAGGTATGCCTTTTTTACTTGTTAGACAATAAGAAGGGACACAACAGACATTCTTCTTTGTCTCTCAAACCTTTTCCAACAGCATTCATCACTGTCAGGCAAGCTCACATCAGTTGGGCAAGAAAGTATCTGTGGCCATACTGCCTCACAGAAAATGTATGCACTTTGTGACACTAAACTGATTGCTCAGTGAGACCAAGACTTCTAAGCAACAGAAGACTGTGAGATTGCCACTGCAAGCCTGCAAGAACAGTAACTGTCAGGTAACAAATAATATTATTACTTACAAATGACATTAAAATGGCCATTTGATAGCATACTATTTACTGCAAAAGCTAAACAGAATATAAATATGGCTATCTCAGGCAAAAACTGAATGACCCAAAAGAGCTGTGTTCCAAGAAACCCATTGTGTAGAGGCAACTATAAAAACGAACTGAAGAATTCATCAGCATTGCAATTCCAACTGATCAACAGTAAAATTACTTTTATGCACATAAATTTTCTGCTTTAGTTATTTACATTAAGTCAAATTCTTTTCAGAATGCTGTTGGTATGATGGTCTGAGAATGTAAGAGGGGCAAGGCACATGGAAGTCTGTGAAAGCAGTACCCTTTATTAGACCTTCTAACAGTGTGGGGAAAAAAAATGGGCAGAATTTTCGACACAGGGGCCCTTCTTCAAGTCTGAAAGAGAAGTGCTAAACTTTAAGGCTAAATACAAATTGAGAACACTTATGCAGTTCCACAGCTAGTTAAGCTGACCTTGCCCCCGTCAGCATGTTCTGTGTGCTCTCATCATTTCCCATTCAGTAGCATTTGGGTGATCAAATGGTGAGCCAGATTAGGGAATTTACAAAGGGATGCAGCTGAAGATCCACCACTTACTTAATTTGTACTTTTCAAAAACCAGTCCCATAAAACAGCTCCTCACATCACTACACAAAGGCTACCATTAGCATAAGAGGAGGAAGAAATATATTGCTGGGACAAGGCAGGCCTGCTCCTTTCAGCAGTGACCTTCACTGATGTCAATTTAAAGACATCTTAGAAATCCATTCCAAGTTTAATTAGATATGTTAATTGGTTGGACTGTCTGAAAGACAAGGTAGTTACTAACTCCTGAGTGTGGGTGTTACTGAAAAAAAGAGAATACAGGGAAAGTTCCCTCCTTCTCTGAGAAATAGACAGATATAATTTATTGTCCATGGAACAGAGGAGGATAAGGAGACTTATTTAGCCTTATATGGGATCATAAATACAGTATCTCTGCTGAATCTGTTGTTTTTAGAAACTAGCAATTAATTTTAATTCCTAGGTTCATCTTTTGAAGGTGTCTTGTGGATCCCTTATGAGAACTGGTTATTTAACAGCTTAGCACAGTTCTGTGAGAAATTATTTCCCACTGGTAACTAGGTATTTGCATGCCTCTCTTTCTGTCTGTGAATTTTCAATGTGTATTGATTCAATTTTACCTAAAGCCTTCACGAGGACATTTTGTACTGACATACTATTGGAAATGAGCGTATAGGGAGAAGGAGTACAGGGTTCATGTTTCAGTATGTTGTCCTACTCTCTGAAGTCTGGTGTGATAGCTTAACAATTTCACTGGGTGTCAATGACAGCTGGAACGATTTATGAAAAGTGAATTCATATTGTATAGTTAGAAGTCATGGAAAACCACAAACATGCATGTGCACAAATCTGTGTTGGAGTGCTTTGACTTCAAAATCGGTAAGCCTTTGGTTGGTAGTAATTGTATCAAATTATGTATCCTATCTGTGAAGAAGCCACAATGAGGTGATTCACTAACTTTACAAACATGCCAGTACCTTGTCCATAATCTGACTCGAAGAATTATTTCTGGGCTTCAACAGTTTAGGAAAGTCCTTCTTCCTATTAAAAAAAAGTCATGCTTGCCAAGTGTATCAGGACAAAACTGTCTATGAATCTTGAAGAGACAACATTAATATATCTAATGAAACGTTAAAATTACAATTTATTTCCACATATTTTACTGATTGAACACTTACCCACTGTGGCAGAAGCTGATGATAGGAGAGACTTTCCCCAGGTACCCCATGCTCCCCATCTACTTGCTTTAGATGAGGAGTCTGTGGCCTGTAAGAACAAAAATAGGACTCCACTGTCTAAAATTCTTGTTTTCCAAAGGCAAGAGGAAACACAAAGTACCTGTCAGGCAACAAAGTCTGCCATTTAATAAATGATGATAGATTGGGTATTACATGGAGTCCAAGCTTCTGTGCGCAAGAGAGCAGAATGGGAAGCTTATTTGAGATCACCTATTCCTGAAAGTTCCTAAAACTCTAGAGAGGTCTTTACAGATGTCCTAATATTTCTTCAGGTACCCGATCCTATAAAGCCATACAAGTGTATTAGGGCTGTTATTAGGGAAAGGCAGGATCCTGTCTCCTTCCTGACTTCTACCAGGAGCCAGAGTCAGAGGCTTCTCTGCCTGAGTCTCCTCAGAGGTATAACCCAGTAGATGTGCCCAGGGAACTCCTAACAACCAAGCTCAACAAAAACACAGCCAGGGGAGGTGCTGTCCACCTTTTACATTAATGTGTGGTGTTAAGTGATTATCAGTATTCCATATTTCAATCATATTAAACTGTTGTCTGAAGAAAGTCTCCAGTAACATATCATCCCTAAACAATCAACTCAAAACCAAAAGCTGAAGTATCCCAAGACAGCTCTGTATCATGCATTGTACAGATCCCTGCGGAGGGGATCACTGGTGGAGGGACTAAAACAATGTGTTTTAACATTTTCTAATTCGAAGATGCCTACAAACTTCTCAGTGGAGATGAGAGCATCTTCAGCTATGTCCCATGTATTGGATTTGGATGCTGTATAGACTGTAAAAAAGCCTTGTTTTTCCTAGTTTTTTTTTTTTTTTAACTTCTTGTGATTACTCACAGGACTCCCAAAAGTCTGTGGATCACAAACCAAAAACTACTGGCCTAGAACAAATCAAAAACTACTGGCCGTTTCACTGAGCCTTGTGAAACATACACCATTTTTGTAAAGTCAATGATGTGAAAATTAGCAAGTACAAGATTCAATGTTGCATATGCAGCTTAAATTCCGTCTTCTTTTAGGTTCATTCTGTGAACTGAATGAAGCCAGATAACAAAATCACAGGAATATTGTATCTATACAAAATGGACTAGATTCTTAATAAGATTTAGGCTCTTGTATAGTTTTATTGCAACTAGGCTGGAAAGACCAAATTAATACCATACTGGCAAAGAGAAATTCAACTATTCTTAGTTTCCAAAAGCTTGGTGTTGCAATTTTAACTTACTTTATTCCCATGCAGACTTTCTGTAAATAACTCCCCTGGCCTTTGTGAAAAACAGTATGTACACTGTACAAAATTCTGTCATTACAAAGCACAGAAGGGAGGGATTTTATGGAAAAGAAAGTATTACTTACTGGGCTGCTTTGTTCATGCTGTGTTTCTTCAGATTCAGGTTCTGCATCAAGACTTACAGTCTCATTACACTCAGTGGGCATGTCTTCAGTCGCCTCTCCGCTGGCAGGCAGACTTTCAATTATTTTTTCAGTCAAAGGGTTTTCATTAATAAGTATGCCTCCTTCCTGTCTATTTTTGGAGCTCTGAGTGGCCTGTCCATGTTCATCTTGTGAAGACTCACACAAGACCTCAGCTTCCACGAGGCATGGTACTGACTCGTGAGGCAGTACATCACTGCTGGGCATTTCCATTACTTCAGGTTTTTCTTCAGATGGCACGCTGTCACATATGTCTTCAGACATTTTCAATTCTGAATATAGAGAATAAATTAAGTCTTTTAGATTCCATAAACATTTGAGTGGCTTTAAAATACGCAGGGTTTACCAAAAGCTATTGCTGAAAAGCAACACAGCCTTGATGTAAGGCCTCCTGAAACATGGAGCTCCATGGCACGTGCATCATGCTGGCACTGGTATCATGATGATACTCTGAATACACTATTCACCTTGCAGGATCTCACTTAAGTACGAAGAGCAGCATTACTGTTTTCCAAAATATAGTTTGGTGAGGGAGAAATGATGTTCATTTGTCTGGAGAAGTCAAATATAAGAGCTTTCACATGGTTGATTCTTATGTTCCCTATTAGATGAGTTTGAAAGGCCACTGGAGAACAGGATAATCTGAGCTGCAACAGTGAAGCAGCTCTTGCTTTCCTTCTTATCATTTCCACATACACAGGTTCCCATATCCTGCTGACTGATGAAGAAGAGGATGACAAACACAGCATGACTGAAACTATGGTGATATTTATGTGTTGGAGAAGAGGCATAATTTGAGGACAGGCCATGGTCCCTGCAGTCACTGCTTCTGCGTCACTTGTCTCAACTGCTTACTGTTTGGGGACTGCAATGTTTCTCACATGCTCCTAAAATTCCATCTGTGTGATTAGACTTCAGTTCTGAAGTCAAGGTGAACTTGCATGAGGTACAGTTACTGATCTTATTTTTGGTGAGTTACGAATCAGTTTTCTGTTATTTACTCCTTACCTTCCAATGTAACTTTATTTTTCTAAGTATTTTCCACCACTGTGCAGTCATCAGACTGTGGATCCAGGAAGGGAAAGCAATGGCCACTGAGCAAGCTCTGCAACTGATTAAGGACCGGCACTGGCAGAGTCCAACAGCACTACTGTACAGTGATTACTACCACTCTTGTTGGCAACAGTATGCTTGGCACTAGTCAGAAGACAACTCTTGACAGAGAGTTGTCATTGCAAGCTCTTGACTACCTGCTGAGTTGCAAGGCATAAAATAAACTCACACAGTACTCTCCACAGATGCTGTCTTTTCACTGACTCCCATATTAATTAAATATGGTTCAAAGCTTTGTCCCTATTAGGAAGGGCTGAGGTTCTAAGAGATACTGAAGAACACAGGCAAAAAACGCAAAAAGCAAAATATAACTGGGATTTAGAAGAAACTTGCCTGAGCAGCACGTATTTAAATTAGTGTATTTTGTTAAAGTCTATAGACTCACATACATCAGTGGCTTTAGCAGCCTGTTCAACTAACTTGAGTGTAGATCAGCTGTTTAAAGAGTTCCAGGAATAGCATTTGAGATCAGCGAACAAGAAAAATAAACAATTAAGTACTTGGTACCACTTATATTACCTTAGCTTATGCTGTAACTTAACTATCTTTAGAAAATATGCATTTAGAGGTCACAATCTTTGCATTTGCGACAAGTATTTACAGTTTTCCATTACAAATACAGCAAATACTTTAAAATGCTTTGGTGTTCATAAGGATTGCCATTGTTTTAACAGCACTCACTGTGTGATGGTCAGCATCACCTAAAAAAAAGTTTTGTATTGGTAAACCAAATTCCATTCCCACATACGAGGATCCTCTAACAAAACCTGTAAAATCTGTACACACACGCATCGTGATTATATCGCACAGCAAATAGATCTGAATGAGAAAATGCCCAACACCAGTACAACTGCTAGAGGATCACACATACACGTGCACATGAATTTTTGCAGGACTGGGTCATCTTTGGGGACCACTTGGGCCAAGGTCCCTGCAGCTGTCTGCTAAACCTCCCTTATAGGAGCAAGGCACGGAACAGCAAATTACCGCTGTCAGAAACCACGAGCCGTGCCTGACCGGGGCGGGGGGGGGGGGGCGTAACGCGTCATTCAAGCTGTCATCCGTGAGACTACACTGATCTAAATCACCTCGGACAACTCCTCCCGAAGGGAACGACTCTCTACCGACAGCTCCTGAGGGAGCCGCCACGGCCAGCTCCGGAGCGACCAGCCGCCCTGCGCCGGGCAGCGCCCAACGAGCGGCGGGACCGGCCGCCCCTCAGGGGCCGGCAGCGGCGGCAGCGGCTCGGTGGCACCTGCCGACCCGCCGCCCGAGGAGCTTCACCACCACCCCCCCCGAAAGGGAAGCCCAGCCGCCGACGGGCGCCTTTCAGGCGCGAACCAACGCCTCCGTGAGGAATAAACTTTCCCGGCCGGCGGCACCGAGCTCCCCTCGCCCTCGACGCTCGCTGTCACTTCTCCCTCCGCGGGACGCTGCGGGCACGGCGGGCTGAGGCGACGCTCGCTCGGGCGCCCCGCGCTGCCACCTGCCCCCGCGCCCCGGGCGCAGCCGGAGCGCCGTTCCCTCAAACCCTCAGCGGCCACAGCTTCCCTTCCCTTTTTTTTTTTTTTTTTTTTTTTTTTTTCCTTCCCCCTCTCCTTTTCGAAATCCCCCCTGGCGCAGAGTTACTACTGCGGAGCCCGCAGCCAGTTTCAAAAGCGGCAAAAAAAGAAGAAATCGCTGTGCTCCTTACCGCTCAGCAGTCCCTTTGCCGGCGCGCCCCCGGCTCCTTCCCCGCCCCGCCACGTCGGCAGCAGCGGGGGGAGGAGGCAGAGCAGGCCGGGCAGCCCCGGGCCGCCGGGAGGAGGGAGGGCAGGCAGGCAGAGCTGGCTCCTCTTCCTCCGCTCTCCCTCCGTCCCTCGGAGGCGACCGCCTGTTGCGAAGGGGCTGCCCCGCGCCGCTGCCCAGCCGCCCTCGGGCTCCAGGCTGCGGGCCGGGACGGCAGCGCTGACCCGCCGCGACCAACCGCCCCGGCCGCCATTATCGGCCCTGACGGCCCTGGGGCGGAGGGGGCAGCGGCGGGACGCGGGGCGGGGGGGGCAGGGCCTGCCCCGGGGGCGTCCTGCCTCAGGAGCTGGAAGAGATACATTGGAGAAGGCTGATGTGGTAACAGTCGTACTGAGGCATTTTAAGTGTAAGTGAGTCTAATCACTGAGCTGGCGCCATATTTTTTTTTTTTTTTTTCTCCCTCTGGGAAGTTGAATCCTTCATCAGAGCAAGCTGCAGCTAGCCACCTGCTGAAGTGTGGGGTTGCAGCAATAAATAACTGAGATTTAGCTTTTCAGATGCCACTTTGTACCTTCTGTATGTCTGTTTACAGGAAATGCTGCTGAAGGAAACTGGGAAGTACATACACACACTTCTTGTAAGTTAGTGTCAGCACTGGGCAACCGCAACCGTGCAAGCAATACTTGGTTGAACAGGGAAAATTCTTGCCCAACAACCTGTGGTTCTTGTCTCTGTCTGATTCCTCATACCCTTTCCTCTTTTTGCTGTTTAATTTTAATGCAATGCATGCCCTTTTATTGTGATAAAAGGCAGTTCCACGATTCATCATGGCATCCTTTCTATCACTAGTCATTCTCTGCTGAAGAAATAAATCCTTACTGTTGCCACAGGAAGCAAAATAGTACATGATGTGAATCATTGAGGAGAGCTGCTATAGGAGGTCACAAAATAAAGCCCTGGTTCTCAGAAGTGTGCTTCACAAATATGGATCACACTATGTGACTTGCATGCTTACTGGGCAAGTCTCCCATTAAGGTAGGTGGTAGCAGAACAAATGTCTGTATCACTAAAAAGTTTATTTTGAAGGCGTTTCAATAAGAATTTAAGTAACAGGGTGTGCTGGTAGTTCTAGCATCTTTTAGGTTCATTTATTAATGTTTAGATGTATTTACTGAAAATTAAGTTTAGAGTGGCCTAAGGATTTCCTTCTGCTTTTCCATGGAGCTTGTGGAAGAGTAAGGGCAGTGTCTTAGGAGGAATTATGATAAATGAAGATCCAAGAGGTGGAGATTGTTTTTCCCCATGATGGATAGTAATTCTGACTGTAAAGTGGATCTTAGACTGTCAGTTTTGCAGATTCTGTACAAAGCCATGCATGTTTTAGAACTGCAAGACAGTATTAATCACTATTGTAATATAAAGTTATTACTTCAGAATGAAATTACATTATTATATAGAAAGAACATTATAAATACTTAAAGGTGTATGTCAGTCTTGGGATAGAAGGATGTATTCCTTTCTTAAGTTCCTAAATTACTGTATTGAATTTAGTACTTGCATTTTCTAATTGTCTTTCACTTTTCAGTAATTAATACACTTGTATTTTCTCACTACAGTAATATTGCAAATGATTTTGAAATAAATGAGCAATTGAAAACTACTCAGATTTCACTGAAGTTTGTTATTACTCAGAGTGTCATCATCTTAATGGGTTTCGGAAAAAAAAACTTACCTTTTAGTAAGTAGATAAATATAAAGAAAAGATGGAAGGAAACAACTACATTTGGCTACTTTTAACAAAACACAGAAGTATGCATAACATTTGAAGAATATATTAATCTTCTTCCAGTGATTGCACTGGTAAACCTGAATGATCAGTATGAAGGCTAATGGCATGCAAATAATGGTAATATGCTTATTTTGCTGTTTAACATATACTTTATCTGTCTTTATAATATGTAGGCAGAACTGGAGAACTCAAACTATGCCAGTGGCCAACTCATACTGTTGCTTAATTGAAGAGATACTCTCAAATAAGCATCTATAATTTATGGTAGTTATTACATGTTAATGAAAAGTATGTCTGGTTCTGTATTCATCAGAGTAATGGGTTGGGGAGATTGACGTCAAGGACTTCAATGTTAAGATCGAAGACCCTTTATTATTCAGAAAGCTGCATTTTTATCCCCCTACAAAGTTGTCCACACCCCCAACATAAGTGCTTATTGGTTAACATACATTACTCACACACCTATTCTAACATTTGACGGGCTAGCTTAACTACACATGTTTTTTCCCTTGTCATTATAACTTGCTTTTTCACTTTTTTTGCTCCGGGTGTTCTTCCAAAGTCCTCTGTTGTTCACTGATAACGTTCTTATTTTTCTGTTATTCCAAAACCTTATTTTTCTGTTATTCCAGAATCTTCAAGGTCTGTTGTTACCTTATTTTTCTGTTATTCAAGGTCTGTTGTGACCTTATTTTTCTGTTATTCAAAAACCTTCAAGGGCATCATGATCTTCGTTGATATAAAATGTCTCCACAATTCCCCCTTTTTTGTTTTCAACAACCAAGGCATGCAGTTGTTGATACTGTCGTCGAACCATCCCTTGAATACACTGCAAAAAACAAGGTAACATCATAACAACAATCAAAATCACCAATATTACCATTCTTCCCCGGAGAATTATTTCTTGTAACCATCCCGTGATCCCCCATCCAGATAACAACCCTCTTAACCAATCGGTCCTTTTTACTCTTCAAATCTTTGGTCAAATCTTTTAATTGTCTTAATTGTTTGTGAATGGATCTCCGGGTGTGGCTAATGACACACACAATGAGTCTTGCCCTGTTAGGTTTGCAAAAGACACCCATAAGTTTTGTCTTGACGGTCCATGGTCTTGCTGTGATGGTCCATGGTCCTGCTGTCGCGATGATTGCTGCTCCAAAGACAATCCATCCGACAGTTTCCTTTCCTACCACTGGTTTCACCCATTTTGCCGGGATCCACGTAGGTCCACTATCTGTAATGATGCAAACATAACCTCTTCCCCACGTTACTAATTGAAACGGCCCTTCCCATATTCCTTCCTTGTTTTTCACTAACACCTTAAGTTGTTCTTTATATGTTGACATTCCTGTTGACATGGCTTGCATATGTTTCACAATGGGAGGAATAGTGTCTTCCCCTGCTAATCGTAAAAAGTTCATAACATATTGTACTTTCATTAATCTGTTTACTGGTGTCTCTCCAGATTCCCCCTGGTTTTGTTTCTGCAAATAATTTTTTAATGTTTGATGTGTACATTCTATAATTGCCTGGCCTGTCGGAGATTGTGGAATGCCAGTAATATGTTGTATTCCCCATTTGGTAAAAAATTTTCCTGTCCATTGTGAATCATATGCTGGGCCATTGTCTGTTTTTGTCTTTTGGGGGATGCCTAACGTCGCAAAGGCATGTCTAAAATGGTTCTGTACACGCTGAGATGTTTCACCACTCAGTGCTGTCATACAAACTGCCATTGAATATGTAACAATGGATACATGCACATATTTTAATTTCCCAAATTCTGGGATGTGCGTCACATCTGTTTGCCACAATTGTAGTGACTGCAATCCTCTTGGATTAACTGCTACTGTTGGTCCTTTTGTTATTTGCTGACACTCTGGGCATGCTTGTATGATTGCCTTTGCTTCTGAAATTGGTAAATTAAATTGTCTTTTTAAAACTTTTGCTGACTGTTGGAAAAATTCATGTGATATGCGAGACTGTTGCCATGTATCAGGAATAGGTAACATAAAGGCCAGTTGTGTAAGTTTGTCTGCCCTCACATTTTCTTCAGCACAAAATCCTGGCAGGTTGGTATGACTACGGTGATGACACACATAATATTCATGGTCTCATTGCTGTAATAACAACCATAATTCCTTCATTTGACTAAATAGCAATTCATGATTAATTTTTAAATTAATTAATTAATTTTAAAAATTATCTTTCCAAGCACTGTACCACTCCAGCTACATAGGCCGAGTCTGTGATAATATTAACTGGTTCTTTCATCCATTTTTTAAAGACTTCAATTACTGCTTGCAATTCTACAATTTGTGGAGAGGCCTGTAAAATCACCACATGTGCTTTCCACTGTCCATTTTCGAGCAGTGTCAGGTCTGCCTTCCCAGTTTTTCCACCACCATCTGTAAAAACTGTTGGCCCACTTACTGGAGTGGTACTACACTTAGACTTCTGCTCCAAACAGTGCTGCTCTTATGGAGAGGAGCTAGCACCTGGGGGTTGAGACATACTGTTTGACATGCCATTTGTCTGATAAGATTGTTTGTTAAAACATGCCCTTTGTTTGTTAAAACATGCCGTTTGTCTGTTAAGACATGCTGATTGTTAAGACATGATGTTTGTCTGATAACATGGGAGTTGCTAGGGGAGGGCTGGTTCTGTGGGTTGAACAGGCGCCGAGGGCCCAGAGGGCTGGGGCCAAAGTTGTAGCTGGGGAAATCTGGTGCCAGGGGCTAGGAGAGCATGCGGCAGAGATAAAGTTTAAAAGTTCATGAAGAAGAGGGAGCCTTACTTCAGCCTCGAGACCCTGGCCCAGGACCACCAGGAAGAACTGCACAGGTGCAAAGAGAAGAGACGAAGGCGGGGCAAATGGAAATGATTTCTTGGAAAGTCTATGGATATGTATCGTTTTGGGCATAAAGGGAGTAGCCCTGGGTCATATGGGTGTGCACGCTTGTGGAGGAGTGATGCCTAGTGCACCCAGCACTGAATAAACATACCTACTTTATAACCTTACTGGTTGTGAAGTTGTTATTCTGCATGTCAGCTCCATAAAAGTAATTTGTCAGTGACTTGGATGATGTACTTTTATCTGTCCACTAAAAGCTGCTAAAGCAATCTGTAAAAGCTGACTATTCTGTAAACACCATTGCAAATAATGCTCTGTCATAGGAATGATAATAGTTTCAGGTTCTTTTCCACTTAATTCCACAATTTGGTTCCTACCCTTCATGATTAACTGTGCAAACATTTCTGGTCTGGTTGTAATTGTTTTTTTGAGGCTGGTGAGATAAAAACTGCCATTCCAAAATTTTTGATTTTTCTGTTTCTAGCTCTTTATCTACCCATTGCATTATCATTCCTATGGGTTGATAATCATTATTAATGATTAATAATTCTATAGGATGTCCATACACAATATGATGTGCTTGTCTTTGGCTTAAAATTTGTTCTACCTTATGCAAGGCCTGTTCTGCTTCTTTTGTTAATAATCTGGGCGCTGTTAATTCTGTATCTCCTTTTAGCAATTCAAACAATGGTTGTAAGGTCTGATTATCAATACCGAATAAATTCCTTACCCAGTTAATGTTTCCTAACAAGATTTGCACATCGTTAAGTGTTTTAATATTCACCCTTAGTGACACCTTTTGAGGTTCGATGGTATGGTCTAATATTTTCCAACCCAAATATTCCCGTGGCGCAACGCTTTGCACTTTTTCAGGCACAATTTGTAATTGATAATCTTTTAACATGTTATACAATTCCTGTTTAAGTTGGTCAGTGTT